AATCCACCCTAGACATGCTTAGGAATTCAATTCCAATTTTTTTTTAAATAAATACACTCCAATCCTATTATGTAAAAACCAGCCTTAGAATTATTTTCTCCTTCCCAGAAATTCTTTGGAATTAATCTCAGATTTCTTTAGGACATTCTCTGAATTATCTTGGAACCCTGGCCAGATTTTCCTTAGGATGTTTGCAAGAAGTTACTAATTATTATTCCCAGTAGGGTTAACCACTCCATTCCCGGCGTATTAAGCACAACCTGCTCTTAGTCTTTCTTAATCTAGCGTAGTTTAGCACTGAACGGAATGTTATTATTATAGATGGCTTCCAAATTTATTTACCTTTCCATATGTACCGTTGGTTCTGATAAGGGGTCGCGAAGTATTCATTCATTGTTGAAAATGCAAAAATTGCTTCTGGTGGCTCAACTTGGCCTACAGGTTTTCTTGGGCCTATTAGCCATTGAAACGCCATTGGGATTCTCTTTAGCCTATCGAACTGAAAGAAAAGTGCGTTGCGTTCTTCAACTCTTCGTCTTGCAGTTATTGAAGAGAAGCATCGTATCAAACGTTGGTTTGACACGTTCACGTCGAAATCATAGATATATTTGATTTGTGCTCGTTAGGTCGGGAATGGGCGACTAGTAGACTTTTCTCCTATTTCTCTTTTTCTTCTTTTTCAATTCTCTTAAAAATTCCATAGGTATTTTATTCTCCTTAGAATTCAATGCATTTTTTAAATGTTGGGGCCCTAAGCATTGTTTCTAGTGACAGAGCCTTGAACATTTGCAGGACCGAAATAATGAATTATTAAAATCTGAGTTCCTGTAAATGTCCCATTTCCACATATTCCACATTTTGAGTATTTTTCTCAATCCCATATTTTAAATAAAATCTAATTTTTTAACTCTTAGGCTTCAATGCTTAATATATATATTTTTAAATTTTCTTCTCAGAATCACCCCGAAATTCTCTTCACATATCCCTTGTAATTCTTTGAGAATTTCTTACAACTTAATCTCAGAATAATTTTAGGATTTCAGTCATAACGCGTTGAATTGTTTTCCAACTTTTTTTTTGTCAAAATTTGGTAGACATGATTCAGCATTTCTTTGGAATTTTCAAAAATTCAATAAAATTCTTCAAATTTTTAGGGCCCTGTAAATTTAAAAACAAAAAAAATTAAATCCCAATTTTTGGAAATATTTTTTATTTCTAGACTCTTTCAAAGCCTTAGAATCAAGGAAATTATCCTAAATTATTTTTTAAGACTTCTGTTAATACAAATCACGATCCCCTGCTTCGAGATCTTTATATCAGGTTCAAGATTTTTAAAACAATTTCTTAATTTTATCCTTCCCCCAAAAATTCGGTTTGATGCCCGATAGCGTTCGCCGAACTAACCTTCCATGACTCTGTTTTTTTTTTAAATTTTGGCACTTTTAAATCATAAAAGCACTCGTTCCTAAAAAAAAAGTTATTCAAATGACTACAAGTGTCTAGAAAATAACCTGATATTGCAATCATTTCATCACTTTAGTTTTTTGTAGAACATTAACACTCCAAACACGATGCTAAAATTGTGTAACGGCAAATTTGCAATGTTTGAAAGATCATAGCTCAGCCATTTATTGTTGAATCTCAAATTTGTTTGCGCCATTTGAAACTACATAATAATTATAATTATAATTAAAAAAAATCCCCATTAGACTTATGAGAATTAATGCTATTGCTACAGAATTGCTATTGGTTACATTTAGATATCAACATTCCTGTAAATGTAATAGGTTAAATAGGTGTAGACCTCTCAGGGGGCCTCAGATAGCCTAGTCATTAGAGGCACAGTATTACCAATCCTATAAATTTAGGTTAAATTGGTGTAGAACACTGAGGGAGCCTCAGATTTAAAGTTTACAGCGCTTATTAATTATCAAACAGTGCTTTCATTACCCTGGCAATAGTGTTTCCTGATTTTCCTTGATATTTTCCTCTACCTTGAAAATTTTCGTGGAAAGCATTTTTCAGTACTATATTTTTATGGATGCCGAGATAAATTTCCTTATTATTTTATTACACAACGTTCTGAATACGATGCTTGGTTCATGAATTATGAATTTTCAAAGTATATGATGTCCGGGAAAATTCAAAAAATTCATTTGAAAATTTCTGGGAAAATTAACCACTACGGGGGCCTTCTTTACCTCAGTCGGTAAAGGCGCAGCTAAAAAGCAAGACCATGTTGGAGGTGGCTGGGTTCGATTCCCAGTCCGGTCTAGGAATTTTTCGGTTTGGAAAATTTGTCGACTTCCCTGGGCATAGAAGTATGATTGTACTTGCCAAACAATTAAACTAATGCAAAAATGGTACAGACATCGAAAGTTCTCAATTAATAACTGTGGAAGTGCATCTAGAACACTAAGTTGAGAGCACGCAATAAGCTGATATGCGATAAGCAATAAGATTGAAATTCGAAGAAGAATGTCGCAAAAGTTGTATAAATTAGTCAAGCAGAAGACCTTGTCATTTTTTTAAATGATTGCAGTGAGAATCCTGAAAAAAATACCAAGCCTCAGATACTGAGTTTTGTTTAGCTTCGAAATTTCAAAATGTGTAGATGTCCTATGTCCGGCAGTTTTAATAATTGTGTAACTTTTAGAACTTTGAGAACCTTCCATGTCACAGAATGTAGAATACTGCGCCATTCCTTACTTTGGAATTTTTTTTTGAAAAAGTTTACCTTAGAATTTTCTTGAAATTCTGATGATTATTATCTAGGAACTATTCTCAGGATTCTGACTGTATTGTCCCAAAATAACCTTGGAATTCACTTCAGTATTCCATGTGATTGTTTCTCAGAATTCTCTTCTTAAAATCTCTTGAGATAGTGTCTTAGAATTTCTTTTGAACTATTCTGAGGATTCGATTGCATTAGAATTCTATTCGAAATTCTCTTAGAACATTCTTCTGAATCTTCCTGGAATGCTACTCAGACTTCTTTGGAAATTTGCTCGCAAATCTTTTTGAAATGCTCTAGATTTCCCTGGAATTTTTCTCATAATCCCTGTAGTAGTCTCTTCAGAACTACCTAGGAATTTACCTTTATTTCTCTTTATAATTTTCATAAAATACATCTCTAAAATACCTGGAATATTATCTGTAGAATATTTTTGTCCAGGCGATATATTTTTTTTCAATCGGAGATCTTGGCAAATGCGTCATATTTTATATTTTTTAATTTTTCGGCGTCTGAAATCTCGAAAAGTTTAAGAATGTGAAAAATTGGCCTAGTCTCAAATGCTCGTAATTTTCTGATGTAATTTCGTCACATTTTTCAGTCCGAGATTCCAATGTTATTCCATGGATCTCTTTTTTTTCTAAATATTTGTCCAAGTTCAATTTATCACTTTGGTCCAATGGCCTCCTCAGCCTTCGAACAAATTGTATGAAATTAAGTGAAAATTTAAAATTACTATACTCCTAATAATTTTTAAAATGTGTGTCTTATGTAACTATACTAATTTATTTTAATTATGCAACAAAATTTGTCAATTTGATGCAATTTTGGGGCCTTTTGAAGTATTTCTTTTTACTAGAGGGTGTCCACAGTGAAATTGCATCACTTATAAGTACTCGCCGAAAATAAGTCTTTAAACCGATTGTCGTGACATTTTCGGGGAATGTAATACTATATAGAAGCTTGGTTTACGTATATTTATTTCACTCTATATCTTCACCAAATCCAAATGCCCGAACTTTCTTCTTAATTCCACTATAAGGTTTTGTACAACGGTTGAATCGACATTTTTTTTCTGCTTTCAACCATGATTTCAATATTTCCTGTTCCGTAGTGACAACTTTAGGCATCCTAACGGATGTACGGAGTTCGTGCTTCATTATAGCCCAGTATCTTCCGATCGGCCGCAACTCTGGTGTGTTTGGGGGATTGAGATCCTTCGGCACGAAAATGACCCCATTCGTCTAAGGCAAGATCCGGTCAAAAAATTGAAGGAACTTTGTGCGATTTAAGAAACGGAGTTCAATATGATAAGTCAAAAAAAAAAAGTCCTAAGTATTTTTTATGCTATATTGAGTCTGCAGTTAAAAGTAAATTTAATCGTTTTACAGTTCCTAATTTTAACGCTTAATGTTTACTAACCACGTTAAAAATATTGATGATGACGCTCATCCGTTTTGTAGGGCAATTTCCACGCCATTCAATCATCATTTTCCGGAGATTCAATTATTTCAATCACAACTAAATAAACCAATTAATAGAATTATCATCCACTCGACTCTACAGTTAATAATAAGCTGGTAACTCGATTTCCCATCTCACTATATTACAGGAATAGAATGTTAACGAGTTAATGGACACTAGAACAGAGTTCTGCTGAGTTCTCTTATAGTATGTTCTTTTTATGTAGGTATGTACACTAGTATTGGTTGACTTATTCCGTTCTCAACTCCGAGTTGGTTGGTGCAATTTAATTGGTGGTTTTATGCATGGTCCCGGTAGCAGCTGCCGTTTGTTGCCCTACCAATGCAGTGGTTGCTGCCGTTGTAAAAAAATATGCAAAGTCAACAAAAACAAAATCTACCTGTACTTGGCTGTCTGGTCGTAAAAAAGACCTACAAAAAGAGTTCACCACATCCGAGAGAGGAGACCTTTCTCGCGTTTGTGTGCCCTGGAGCTGCTCTTTTGACCCTGGTAAATACAATCAGGAAGGCAAGTGTAATCAGGACGTGTAACTTCTTGCGTACGTACAGTTTAGGGTTTTTCTTGTGTGTGAATGTGCGTGTCTGCTCCAGAATACACATAAATAGCAGTCCAGTAGTCCTAAGCGTGGCGCTACCCCTAGGAAGGTAGCACATTTCTCACCATTAAATTTCATGCTTCTCTTATGTTCCTTCTACCTTTATTTCTCGGTACTCATAATCTCCTGCCGCTCACGACGAAAACAACAATGCACTCACCTGTACCGGACCTGATCTACCACCAGCTGCAGCATCCACTCGAGCCAGAGGCGGCCGCTATGAAACTGCTCGGTGGACATGACGACGGCGGCGGACGAGGAGCACCCATCCGGTCACAGGACGACGCCGCAGTCGGTTACGTCTTCCAACGGCATCCGAACGAGACCGAGTTCAACCAGTTTGCTCAGAAGCAGTCCCGGTGGGCTTCCGGAGACGATGCCATTATCGATGTAAGTACTGTGTCTTGTTATGTCGTCGCATAAAGTCGAGGATATATGTGGCTTTTGTTTTCTTCTTATTATTTTTGTTGTTGTTTTATAATATCACATGTTTTATGTGAAATCAGTGCCGTATTCGGGGTATAATCTAATGTTTCGTCTTTTAGGAAAAAGACTAGAATCTCGGAAACATCCAGGGGGGCACCCTAGCACATTTGTCGTGTGAGCACTTCAGTGCGAAGCTACTCATAAAATTGTTAATGCAATGAACCATAAGCCTTAATTATAAATAAACTACGTATCCTAACTGCAGTACTGCCCGGGAAATCTTGTGGGCTTAACTTCCGAACTCACAGAAACAAAGCATACTCCAACATAGGTCCAACTACTCAGATTGAACGATTATGTTGCTGCTGCTTTTACTGTGATTTTGCTACTACTTCTGATGCTCCGATATCGAGGCTAGACACGAATTATCCTTGAAAACTTATACATGCTGCTTTGCATGCCCAATGGTGGGAACACGCAGAGTGGGCACGAAGGAGAAAAGTACAAAACATTTCATGCCACATAAATAGGGCATCGTTCTTCGCTCTTCGCCGTCGTCGTTGGTGGAAAGGTTGAACAAACAGACACTCTCCGCCATGTCTTGTTCGAACCGACCGAGAGTGGGTTGTCCCTTTGTGTGTAAGAGCATCGTAACATCGTAGGTATCGTCGAAGATGAGTCACTTTTCCCAGCTCCAACAAAGGCGAATATTGGATCAGATTTTTCCTGGGTCACGTGGAACGTAAGGTGTAAAGATGAAAGTGGCTAGCAGCACGCAGTGACCTTTTCGCCGTGCTCTGATAAACGTCAGATTTCCCCACTCGTAGAGAACATGTTTACATCCTGTCGTTATCCATCAGGGAAAATGTTCTGTGTGGTGGTGGTGGTTACATGACTCTTGGGCAGCACATTTTTAGCTCCTTCTGCATATGTGAATATATTATTTTCGTATGAGAAGGTAAGAAACGTGCCTACTCAAGTTGATTTTATCTTTTACGGAAAGACTGTGCCACTGTCAGTGTCATAAGGTAGTCCTGAACACTCGATCCTGATCGTACACACACAAAAGTGCTCTCCATAAGTCGATATGTCAAAATCAAATGGGCTCAAAACTTGTGCATATTGAGTAAGTACCCATCCCAGATCTCAGCGGCCCCATCAGAACATGTTTCGGGTGTCCTCAGGAAAATGGTCCGTATCTTTAATTCATACCAAAATTTATCATGAGGCAAATCAAACCGGGTTTACTGAGTACTCATGGTGCATGAAACTTTGCTAATTTGCATGGAACTTTGCATAATTGTTTGTTATGGTCAATCATTCACATTTGAGCTAAAATTCGAACATTTCAAATCTCGCAACAAACTTCATTCGAAACTTTTCAATAAATCATCACTCGAAAACGTCACTTCCAATCGATCTGACGTCTAAGACAAATCTGTATGAAAAAACTACCCCCAGGTATTTTTTTACACGGGGGATATGTACCTACGAGATTTTGATTTTTCACATGCTTAAATGTTTTTAAAAAAATCGGATTTTGATGCCATTTATAGCATGCTATGATCCATATTTAAAAAACTTCTGTATTTACACCAACAATTGTGAGTATGCCATTCGATTATCTATAGCTTCAAACGGATAATGTGATTTGAATCAAGTCGATAGGTTGTATCGTTGTCGAGAAATCGTTAAAAACGTACCGTGTAAATCTCGAAAAACCGTGTAAAAAAAACCGCGTAAAAAACCGTGTAAAAAAAACCGCGTAAAAAACCGTGTAAAAAAAGACTTCAGTGTATTTCTTTTTCTGAGAAAATACGTACGATAAAAACATTCAAGTGATTTTGGGTAAAAAATCAAAAAAAAAAGTGTTTAAAAATATAATAACAAATGATTTTCATAATTTAAATTTTCAAGTTCACTTAAAAATTTACAAAAATCATTAAACAACAATTTTTGATCAATTTTAAGAACTTCTTGATTTTATAATCTGTTTTTTTGTGAAATTTTGCACTGAAAACAATTTTTTAGACTTTCATGTGCATACATTTAGAAACAAGAATTTATAAACCAAAAGTTCAAAAATTGGATAAAAAGTTGTTACCCTATAAACCCCGTACCAATGCTATCGACGCCACGGAAGCTGCTACCACACCTGGACCCTACCTACCGACCCATCAATTCATGGACCGGGAAGCAACGGCTTTACTTTCCTTCCGAAGCAAAGTGTGAGATTTTATGACTCAGAAAATCTCGACAATGTCGATTGCAGGGCTGGTACCCGAGCAAAGCTGAACATCAAATTGAAATCAAAATTTGCTGTTATGATGTAACTTATTTTGAATACTCCAGTTGATCTCATTTTGGTTGACTTAACGGTTAACACAGCAAAAATGAGAGCAAAATTTTACACTGTTGAAGCAAACGGACAACTAATCCTGCTTTCAATGAAATCAATTTGATTACTAATTTTGCATTCATAATGTTTAACTGAATACGGGCCTAGAGTAAATGGTTACCATTCATGTTTCTCAAGCTGAAAGACTTAGGCTCCAATCTCACCGCGGGCAAGTCACGAATGACCTAAAATGTGTTAAACAAATCAGATAAACGATAATCATTAGTTCAACGACAGATGAATTTCAATTAAATTTTAAACAAGACGTAAACAGCAGAACTTCAAGTTAAGTTGCTTTCATTTAAAACGTCTTGACTGCATAATGAAAGTACAATATGATATCAGACTTATGTCGCAACATTTGAAATCAAAATGAGTTTTCATTATGATAGGAACTGCACACTTTAATATCGATTTGCTTTCATTTTGTTAACCGACTTTGCTCGGGTAGCGAGTCACTTTTTAGTGACTTGGTCACTTTTTTCAAGTCAGTCACTAAAAAGTCTCTTTTCTTAAGGCCAAGTCACTAAAGTCACTTTTTCTTGGAATAAGTCACTATTTTCAACTTTTTTAGCGTGAATTTATTTCAAGATTGATTATTCTTTGCGTTGTGACGTTTAATCGTCTTTCTCTATATACAGGATGTCTACTCTTTTTTTCTGGGTAAAATTACCTGAGTTTTCCAAGTAAGTAAGTCGAAGATCTAAAAATATCCAATGTCTTGAAGTTTCGTATTCCATGTAAAAGTTCAAGATATTGAAAATATTCAAAGTGCCAAAATTAAGTAAACAAATAAATGATTTATTTCAAGTGCGTTCAAGTTCAATGCAGTTCCATCAACTTTACAACAATTATAGGAACTTTGGAGAACCCCTGAGGAATGAAAGGAAATGCTGAGAAGTAAGGAAAGTTAACACGCTGAAAATATGGGAAACTTACTAGAAGCTGTAAGAACTTCAAAGCGGTTCTTTTTTGAAGTTCCTAGAATTTCAAAGAACTTTATAGGTATAAAGCGAACTTGAGAAATTTAGAAAACTTGAGGGGTATTGTGCAAATTTTTAAGAAGTTCTAAGCACCTCAGAAAACCTAGCTAGATTAAAAATCTATAATCGTAAATTTAGGTAAATTCAAGATAGTTCCAGGATGTGCTGAAAAATAAATCGTGAATTCTTAAGATGTTCCGCGAATTTCAGGGAAGTACAGAGACCTTCAGAGAATTTATTAAACTTCAGAAATATTTCAGAAACTTCACAAAAGTCTAATGAATTTCAGAGAAGTTTAAAGGTGTTTACGGGAATTCTATTTATTTCCGAGCAGAACCGAGATCTTCAATAGAACAAAGAGCTTTATGGAAGCTTCGAGAATATCAAAACAGGTCAGATAATCAAAGGACAGTTCAAATAATTTCAAGGAATATAATCACATTCTTGAGTTGAATTTAGAACCTTCGAGTAGATTGGTAGATTGCTCGATCCAGATGTGTCCAATAAAAATCAATCCTTTGAGCAAGTGCAAGAATAGTAGAGAGTTAAGTTGGGTTCAGTTGAATTCAATTCACTTGAAGAGTTGAGCCTGGTTCAACTTTTTTCAATTCTAGTGAATTGATCAAGTTAGTTGAATGGCATGGAGAGAACAAACTAAATGAAAATTTAGGACAATGGTCTTACTTGGGAGGATTTTTTTATTGCTTGGAGTAGGGTAAACGCTCCTATAGTTGCGGTACGTTAGAAGCGTTAGGTTCCTATAGTTGTGTATGGAGACTCCGTACACAACTATAGGAACCTAACGCTTCTAACGTACCGCAACTATAGGAGCGTTTCCCCTAGCACTTTTATGATTGAATAATGATTCAAATATACTTAGACAAGCATTGCCTTGACAGCATAGAGTGGCTTTATTGAGTATTCTAGGTTTTCATTGGAAACATGGTTAGCTGGTAAAATTAGCAACTCAGTGAAGTTTGCTGGGAGCTGGGTTTCAACATGTGCTCAAAGCAAATAAAATATAATGGGACTAGGAACAAGTGTTTCATATGTAAAATGCAGAGCGACCAGAAAACCGGAAACACTGGGAATTTGAAGTCACATGGAAAAGACCGAAAGATGACAAATCTGGAAAAATATACTTCGTTCTCTCTTCGAAAGCAATAAGATTTCAAGACCCTTCAACTGGACTAGATTTTCAGGATAGCCACTTTGATGAACTAGGGGAAATGCAGGTAATGTCGGCCTAAGTGTCCCTAATTTGGGCCCATACATAAATTCAGCAATAGACTAAATTTTCAATAGCAACCAAAAATATCCATTAGTAACGTCCCAATAACGCGTTCATCTAGATAAAATTGATCAATAGCAGATTTTTAGCGATGGGCCCAATCTTAGATCCATAGGCCAACATTAGAGACATTTCCCCTATATTAAGAGAATTTTGTTCCAAAACAAGTTTTAGCAGATTTTAGAATGAATTATAGAAATAATACCAAGGTATTTCAGATAATATTTTCTAGCTTTAGGATTTTTTTACTAGAACTTCCATGGGAGAAGAGGATTCCAGGATTCGTGAAAAATACTCGAAGCATTGCAATGCCAGATGGTAGGGCAGGGAATGGGTATTATAAGTTTTGCTCATAAAAGCTAATAGGCCCTTTTCAATCGAGGTGAATTTCTTGAGAATTCTACGGAAAATTTCAAGCTAATTTAGAAAAAAAAATGGAAGCTCCAGTGAATTCATAGAAAGAGTTAAAATCTAAGAGAAAGAGAATCTAAGGACGAATTTTAAGAATTTTTCGGAGTGTTCTACAGAGAATTTCTGGACTTTTATAAAGACATTTTCAATGCACTTCCAGAGAGAATTTCAAATTTATGTTAGAAGTATTCTGAAAAGAACGCTCAATCAAATAAAAGCCTGTAAAGTTTTGAGCGAAGACTACAAACTTGTTGCACAACCAAATTCGAGATCCAGCATAGGTGCTGCTGTCTTAGAAATGATCCATGATCCGAAGGTTAACGGTTCAATCACATTCAGTTTTATGCTTAATTCGCTAAATCGGTAAAATTTCCAAAATTCCGGGAAAAACCGGGAAATTGCTAATCAATATGCCCCTAGGGTTGAGTTTGGAAGCAGTTAAAAAAGAACTTCTAGGGGTGAGAAAATTGCGATTTGAAGGACCTCTACTCGTATCAGTGAGTAAATCGAGGTAAGAAACGGATCATGAAATTGCTGAAAACTTTAAGCGATTAAGCAAGCCTTTTTTGTAGATTTATATCGATATGGTTGCAGTTTCCTTCACACGTTGCTTTCAATCGTAGCAATATCCCGATTACTGCTTAAACTACATAACTGGCGTTTACGTTTTGCATTCTACATTTAAAAAGATGGGCGTGGCTGGGAATAGCGACAGCCATGGTTTTTGTATGCGTGTTTAAATTAGACTCAATATTTACTCCCCAGCATTATTCCTGAAAGTAGTGTGACTGAGAATTTCAAAATAGACGTGAGTGTCATTAGTATCCAATTTGTATACCGTAACAATGCTGACGCTAACGCTTTGTTTGCTTCTTGATATGAAGTAAAGCGAAGTTCGGTTGGAGGAACGAGTACTTAAAAGAAATAATGTTTGAGTTTTAGGAAAGACTTGTTAATCGGAAATTTATAAGAATAGTTGTTATCGTCGTCGGTTGAACGGGAACTTGGTCATATTGTTTTGTGAAATGAAGAGCTTGGTGGCCTTGTGGCGACCGATTTTGCTTACTGAGCAAAAAATCATGGGTTCAATCCCAAGCTCCTTAACATTATATCTTTAATAATATGGTTTAAAGCGTTATGAAATTCGGTTTAAGCGACGGGTATGTAAAAGAAGTAATAGGGGAAATGGATGTAATGTCGGCCTGACTGCCCCTAATTTGGGCCCATACATAAATTTAGCAATCAAGTAAATTTTCAATTCCGTCCCAATGACGCGTTCATCTAGATAAAGTTGATAAATAGCAGATTTTTAGCGATGAGCCCAATCTTAGATCCATAGGCAAACATTAGAGCCATTTCCCCTATTTGAGTTTTTGAAAAGACGTGTTGATCGGAAATCCTTATCAAATCTTTCTCAAGAGCAGTTGTTGTCGTTGTCGGTGAGGTCACCACCGGGATCTAAACCTATTAACAACAAGTTGAACGGTAACTTGAGCGTCGTAATTGTTTTGTGATATAAGGAGCTTGGTAGCCTAGTGGCGACCGATTTTGCTTACTAAGCAGTAAACCGTGTGTTCGGACCCAAGTTCCTTTCGTTAGCACATAAATTCAGCACATCGTTTACCAAAACGAATCCTGCTGCAATCACAACCCTTTTATCCAACATCCCAGTGATATCTCGTGGAAGTGCAGAGGTGTTCTCGGCTTTCATTAAAGCGAGTATTACGCAGTGCTGCAAAATCTCGACAGTACACGGTGATATTGACAATTCTGCTTTGGTCACTCATTTGAGCTAACAGTCATAGTCAAGACAAACCATGTCAATTGTCAATGACAATGGTGTCAGTGACGAACATGTGCAGATTTGTTTATTAGCTAAATTTGTAACGAAATTAAATGACTTGAGCAACACAATTACATGGATATATTTTAATGAACAAGTATCTACGTCCTGAGCTACTTGGATAAAAATAATGTGACACAGAATGTACTAAATTACACTTTTTGTTACCAGGTGAATCTTTGTCATTGACGAAAAAATGAATGAGATTTTGACGAAGGTTTTTTTGAGGATCATGTCTGTCAGTGACTATGTAGTGGACCGTACACGATTGCTTTTATTGACAATAATCGTATTGTCAATACATTATATATTGACGTCAATACATCGAGATTGACAATATTTCTGAGTCACATCATCAATATTATTTTCAATAATTCCCCTTCGCGTCAATATATTGATGCGTGTGGGGTTTGCTTGTGACGAACAATTTTGTCAATATCGCGCGAAAGTCTGTCAATGACAATGACAAATCTCAGCACTGGTATTACGTCATCATATTCTTACCCATTCCTTTCTTGACCAGCATTCGGGCGTGACCGGCGCTTGTATTGCCTAGTTTTAGATCACCAGTATTTACCCATTGAGGATGATTGCTAGTCCCAAAATTCACATTGTCATAACTCCTCTCGTGAACCCAATGAATGATGAACATGAGTTGCCAATGAAATTATTCTTTGTTAAATAGAGAACCGTCACAAAATTCCAAGTTGAACTTGGGTAAAGTGATCCGGTGGTCCGGTGATCCGTTGAAAAGATCCGGATCACCTATAACGTTATCTCTAGTTTGAAGGATTTTTTTTTTGCGTTTTTAAGGTTATTTTGCATTCACAATGGCGGGTCGTGAGATTTAGAAATTTCGTGGGTCGCAATCGACAAAAGTTTGAGAACCGCTGTTTTATGGGATAAAGATTATACTACACGTTACATGAATGTCCATAAGTGCCTAGTTGGAAAATCTTGATATCATTCCAGGTTCCTAAGTTTGTCCTGTCGTTTGCATGAAATCATCGTTATCACTAAAAACTACGGAGCCTTTTTCAATATTTGAATTTTTAGCAAAACTAAATGCAATCTCAGTATACTAATCACCTTTCCCCGAACTCTCTTGCAGAACCAAGACAAATGGAAGTACAACCCAACGTTGACAAACAACAGCACCGGTGGGTTGCTTCCGCCGCCGACGATGAACAAGCACCACCAAGCACAGCCTCAAGCTCAACAACAGCAGCAACAGCACCAGCAACATCAGCAACAGCAACTGCCCATGATTAACCATCATCCATCGCAGCTCGCGAACCACTTGAACCATCAGAACCATCTCAACCAGACAATGCTCAACCACACGGCGATGGGCAATGCGGCGGCTGCCGCGGCCGCTGCCAGTGGGCTTCAGACGATGCAGATGCCCATGCAGGGTGCCGGCATGTACGATCACCTGCATCCACCGAATGTGAACGTGAACGGAGTGGTACCGAAGCCACCGGGCCAGGAGCAGTTGGTGTTTCTGGGCGGTGGCCAGCAGTACGGAGTCCTAGCGCCACAGAATCAGTACATCGCACGGAACAATGCAGCGGTAAGTGTTGGATTATTTTTCTTTAGGTAGCCTCTTTGTCGTCATCCGATCGCAGGTGACCGTAACCAAGGTGATTATCACCTCTTTTTTCGATGTGTGAATCCCGTCAAAGTACACTCATCATGTCTCATTCATTCATTCCATGCTGAATGATTTCCGCTGCGTTGTCGTCGTCTTCGGATACCCTTCCCTTTCTCTCTCGTCGGCTTTAAAGTTGATTTACCTGTCTGGTCGGGTTGCATGAAGGTATGCACCACGTTTTGATGCGTGAGCGTTGCTCGGTTTAGAGGCAGGCGCCTCTGCTTTTACCTTCATTGTCCATTTTGCTCTGTGGCCCATTTGCTTCTTTTCCATAGTAGGGGTTTTATTCAGCTTCTTCTCAATGAAAATGCTGGTAGAAGTAGTAGTGTTTGATGTAATCGGCGCCGTCGTCGGTGTGAAAAAATATGCGCCTAACCTGAGCTATCCGGCCGGCCGGCATGCCGATAATAGGTGCTATCATAGTAGCGAAAGTGAGAAATGTTTTGTTACAGTCTATCGATTGCAATGCGAATTATGGCGCTAGTTAGTGTTCGATTGCGAATGAGATAATATCTGGGGTTCCTTTGGTTGATGCCATTTCCAGATCCTAGGATGTGACAAGTGGCACATTATTTGTGCGAAAATATGGATGAAATCGATATAGCAGCCCTAATCCCACTGCAATCGCCGACCAGGGCGAAGGTCAACAAACGGAAATCTGGACGGTGCAAACTAAATCGCATTTATTCGACGAACTGGACGGACACGATGGCACGACTATCAAAGCCTGCCAACTTCAATAGGAAGATTAATGTTTGATTGAGTTTGCACTAGTTTTCGAGCCAGAGCACAGCTATAACTATATAGGTGGAAGTCTTGCATATCCCGAAATTGGGTGCCCACATCGCACAGGCAGAAGACTGTAAGGTTAGGTGCAATTTGGTTGTTTCGGACCAGAGAGTGCTCCCGTCATTTGACTATACTTTGTGTGGCTTGGCATGATGCTGCTGCTGCTGCTGCATACGAACGGGGCTGCTCTGCGGTAGATTTGCAAGGATAGGATGTTGAAGTGTCTTTTTTTGAGGCACTCGTTCGGATTTACGAATTGTTTTAATTGAAGGAATTTTCGCAACATGAACTACGCTGAATGGAAAGATAGCATTTTGTTCCCTTAGAGGCAAAGTCGTATCTAAAATTATGACACCGCTCTCTTGCTACCACAGTTAGTTGAAAACTTATTCCTACAGTCATCGAACGATCTGCCATGCATTTTAGAGCATTCTCATTGAATGCATTTGCTATCCCAACCTCATACAAAACGACACTCCCAGCTTGCTTTTGTGCCGCAAGCGTCGTAACCACTTTAATTGAATCAAATTAATTGCATTACTACTTTCCGGAGCCAATCTGCACTCTCCTCACCCTCCTTTACCAATCCGTCATCTATTTCCGCGCAGAGGAGCAGACACCCAGCCTCCACCCACACCCACGACCAAGATACAAAGTTGATCCCAAATTGGGGCGGTATTTTCCTGGACATGGGCATCAGCGACACACACATATACAGAATAAGCTCGCTCGTTCACATTCATCTTTTCCAGCGCCCTCCGACTCTCCCAGAGCTTCCCTAACGAACTAGATAATCGTACAGCAAGAGCCACCACAGCAACAGCAGCAGAAATCTCATCCAAGTCAGTGGAGCACAACGAAAATTCGCACATAATTTGTACTTTTGCTGGAGGTGATTTCACCCGTTTTTTTGGCGCTCATTCTGGAGTCACGATTTACAGCTAGATGAATGTTTGCAACTCACTTCACTTGCCCAGGCTGACCAGTAGCAGTGTTCTAGTTAGCAAGAGAATACCAAACTTCTGAAAAGTTTATCGTTTCCAGTGTGCAAACGGAGATCGGAGTCGGTCCTATTCCGAGCATAACTTCTGATATCTAACGTGATGATTCTGAACGTGTGGAGGCCTTTGTGCATCGACTGATATCAGCCTGGAGCTCACTGCCGCAAAGGTAGTAAAGTAAGCTTACAACCATGGGCGTAGGCAGGTTATCAAATTTTCAGAATGTCTACATTATTCTCAAATTCCATTGAATGCTCCTTTGAATATATTAGACACCAACCTCAGAATTCGATTCCCTTGGAATAACTCTCAGAACCCCTTGGATCTCTCTGCTTAATTTTTTATATTCAAATGTTTTCAGTTTGGCTTTGTAATTATCCTCAGTATTGCCTTTAACCATTTGAATAGCTTCATATCACCGTTCGTAATGGTTTGTTGTGATCTAAGAGGCTCGGAGGCCTAGTGGTGACCATTTTTGCTTACTAAGCAGAAGACCATGGGTTTATCCCTGGCCCTCCTTTCCATTACTGAATTGATAGGTTTGCATCTTTTACTTGTCAGGCCTAAACCTCCGATAATCAGATATCAGGCCCCTTTGAATTTTCGTATATTTTGAAATAACAACGCTATTATGTGGCACCTACTTTCATATTATGTGATAAAACTACGGATTTTGATCATGAAGCAAAGTAATCGCATATTAGTCCCATCCTGAAATTCAATCGTCCAGAGGTCAAGTTATAGTTCTGCTTTTTGTATCAACCGATTGAAGCCGCTTCTGCCGGTAGTCACATGTAGGACGCCACCCACCTTGAAATGTATGGGCTTGGAAGTTTTTAATCTAAAAATGTATGGAAATTTTCTGTTTTTGATCGATTGCACATAAACTACGGCTCTTATGCCTATCATTTACGTACTGGAAAAATTGGATAGTGTTTGCGTATCCGCTGGTAGTACTCGTTTAGCAGATAAGTGCGAAGTTGCTGAAAATTTCATCAGTCAACGATTTTTACCATTCTAAAAAAAACTGAAGGGGTTGCTGTCTTTGAGGAAAACGCTAGACCGAGCAGCTTTGGAAATGGTTAATTGCCATATTTTGCGTTGATATAACAAAAAATTCAGCTCTAATGCAACCGATTTTATCTTGAAAAAATACCAATCAATTTAGTATGGTTTTTCAAATATTTACAATGGAATTGCATTTCGTAAACTGCCATTTCCTCTATGCATACTTTTTCCATATGGGTGTCATATTTGATTATAGACAGCGAAGGCCGCAAAACTTATTCGTGCTATTTAAAAAAAAACTACATTTTTATCAAAACGATAATCACACCGCTTCTTGAATCCTGATCCAACGAACCCTACTTACTAATAACATCATCCCTACTGTGACTTTTTGGGGAGGCAGAGGTAAACTTACTAAACATGGTCCCAAAAACAATAAAGATCATTCTAATATTCATTCCCCCTCCCTCAGGACTGCGAGACCGTGACCGACGCCGTGATTTTTTTTAGCTAGTTCGTTTATTTACTAGGCTCAGTCGTGTGTGACACTTTGCGGAGCCAAAAATCCGTATTTTTTAATTAACATTTTAAACAGCAGTAATCTAGGTTAGTATTGGGTACCAATTACTCGTAGCGGGCTCAAGGATAATGGGCTAGAATTTCGATTGGAAGGAACTGATTGACCGTGATTGATTTTCAATATATGGAGTAACTGAAATTTGTACAATGAGAATGGACGGTCACTTTCAGTCCCATTCAGTTGATTGATTGTGAAATTTCATACAGTAATTCCCTTTGCTATTTATGTGCAGTCCGTCCACTATCTTCAGGATCGTCTTTAAATTATCTTCAGAATTTGTGAGTAATTTGCCTTCGGATTCTTCATAAAATACTGTGAAAATTCTTATCACAATCCTCAAGGAATTTTGATTATTTTAAGCTTACTTAGCAGTTCCACACCAGCTGAAGAATCGATTTTATTTTTGCCTCTTCGAATTCCCTGAAATTTCGCCTAATTTTTCACTAGAAGCAATGCACCAAGTTTGTGCAGTTCTAGGTTTGCCTTTTCAGAAAAAAATACACATTAGTTTCGTAAAAAAATTAAGAACACTGTTTAAAACTTCACTAACAAAAATAGTGCATTTTTAAGATTTGTATACTCATGTATGCTTTCAATTATCAAACATGCTAACTTTACTGAAATGGACATAATGGATTCTTCAAAATTGGGCTAAATCATGAACATTTTTATTTTTTCCTTTGGTTTGTTTTTTTTTCCGTCGATCTTGTTTTCCGTGCTGAGCACCAATGCTACCGACGTGCCAGGAAGGCAGCTCCCACACCTGGACCCTACATATCGACCCATCAACTCATGAACCGGGGACCAACGGCTTTACTTCCCATCCGAAGGAAGGCGTGATCAGAGATGTTATGCCTCAGAACATCCCGGCGGCGCCGACTGGGATTGAACCCAGGTCTGCTGGGGTGAGAGGTAATCACGCTTACCACTACACCACCGGCGCCGTTCAAATCATGAACATGTTTGGTACCTAATTATGAATATTAAAGCAACTGTATAAAATTTTAAAAATTTAATCTTAATTTTAGGATTTATTCCATAACCACCCAACTTTAAAAAAAATGAATAATGAATTGTTCATTTTTGTTAATAATATATATTCCGTTTTGAAAAATTTGGCGGGAGTCATTGAATTTTGAGAGGTACTATTCGTTTGTTTTTTCGTCTAAGTCTTCTCAGCAGTGATGGAAAAGTTCGCGAAAAATCACTATGACTCACGAAGGGAAAAGGTGAACTTCGTGAAATATCGCGAACTTTTCCAACACTGCTTCTCAGACCTCTCTTAAAGCTCTTCTAAACTTCTTTTCAGAAGAATGTCAAAGAACGAGGAGAAAGCATAACTTTATTGCTCCTCAGAATTCGATGCCCTTGGAAAGGTTCTCAAAAACCCTTGGAACTCTTCTCAGAGTATTCCTCTTTATTCAATTACTTTAGAATGGGAATCTTCTTATCGCATTAGATTTTATTTAATTTCTTTGGATTTGCCAGGATTTCTTGGAAATTAATTAAATTAAATTTTCTACATAATTCTTATTCAAATT